AGCCATCATTGTTGTTTGGCGGGCCCAGGTTGGATTTGAACCCGCCACCTTAGGTGTATGTGGCTGGCGCCTTAGCCGCTTGAGCCACAGGCACCAAGCCGGTCATCTAACTTTAATCTACTTAAACAGAACAATTTCCAGCCCAGAATTCTATATCCTGCTAAGCTAAGCTTTAAAATTGAGGGAGAAATCAAATTATTTACTGATATGCATATGTTGAGGAAATTTGCCACAAGACCAGCCCTACAGGAAATACTTAAACCTGTTCTACACACTAACCATCACAATGGACCAACAGCAAAGTAAGCACGCAGAAATTGAAGGACAGAACCTAGCTTCCACAATGATAGAAAAGATAAAACTAAGCAATGGACTTTCACAAAATAAGATGAATAGAATGCTACCACACTTAGCAATTATCTTAATAAATGTTAATGGCTTGAATTCCCCACTGAAGAGGCATAGATTGGCTGATTGGATTAAAAAACACAAGCTGTCCATTTGCTGTTTGCAGGAAACACATCTAACCTCAAAAGGGGTGGAAGATAATTTTTCAGGTGAATGGAATTCAGAAGAAAAGAGCTGTTGCAATCTTATTTTCAGATACACATCAATTTAAAGCAACTAAAGTCAAAAAGACAAATATGGTCACTTCATATTGGTCAAGGGAAAAATACAAGAAGACATTTCAATTCTGAATATTAATGCACCCAACTTAAATGCTCCTAGATTCTTGTAACAGACCTTAATTAGTCTGAACAATATGATATCCTATAACACCATAATAATAGGGGACTTTAACACTCCTCTTACAGAGTTGGACAAATCCTCTAAACAGAAATTAAACAAAGATATAAGGAACTTAAACGAGACCCTAGAACAACTGTGTTTGATAGATGTATATAGAACACTCCATCCCAAAAGTAAAGAATATACATTCTTCTCATCGGCCCATGGAACATTCTCCAAAATTGGTCATATCCTAGGACACAAACCAACAGAATCAAGAGAGTTGAAATTTTACCTTGTATCTTCTCAGACCATAAGGAATTAAAGGTGGAATTCAACTCCAACAAAAATGTTCGATCCCACACCAAGTCATGGAAATTAAACAACCTTATGCTGAATGACAGTTGGGTGCCGAAAGAAATAAAAGAGGAAATCATCAACTTCCTTGAGCATAAACAACAATGAAGATACAAGCTACCAAAACCCGTAGGATGTGGCAAAAGCAGTCCTGAAAGGAAAATTTATCACTTTAGATGACTACATCCAAAAAAGAGAAAGCATGTCAACAAATTCACAAGCCATCTTATGGAACTGGAAAAAGAAGAACAATCTCAACCTAAACCCAGCAGAAAAAAAGGAAATATCCAAAATTATTTCATTAATGAAATTGAAAACAAAAGAATCATGCAGAAAATTAATGAAACAAGGAGTTGGTTTTTTGAAAAAATAAATAGATAAACTTTTGGCCAGACTAACTCTGAATAGAAAAGTAAAATCTCTAATAACCTCAATCAGAAATGAGAAAGGGGAAATAAAAGATGCCACAGAGATATGAGATCATCTCTGGATACTACCAGAAACTCTATACCCAGAAATTTGACAGTGAAGGAAAAGAGATCAATATTTGAAATCACACTCTCTCCCTAGACTTAGCCAGGAAGAAATAGATCTCCTGAACCGACCAATTTCAAACACCAAGGTCAAGGAAACAATAAAAAAATCTCCCAACAAAAAAATGTCTGGTCTGGATGGCTTCACACCTGAATTCTATCAAACCTTCAAAGAAGAGCTTATTCCCATACTGCCAAAATTATTCCAAAAACTTGAGGAGGAAGAAATCTTCCCCAACACGTTCTATGAAGCAAACGTCACCCTGATACCCACACCAGGAAAAGACCCAACTAAAAAGGAGAATGTCAGACCAATTTCACTAATGAATATAGATGCAAAAATTCTCAATAAAATCCTAGCCAATAGATTACAGCTTATCATCAAAAAAGTCATATATCATGATCAAGTAGGTTTCATCCCAGGGATGCAAGGCTGGTTTAACATACACAAGTCAAGTCCATAAATGTTATTCACCATATCAACAGAAGCAAAAACAAAGACCATATGTTCCTCTCAGTAGATGCAGAAAAAGCATTCAATGAAATCAAGCATCCTTTTCTAATTAGAACACTGAAGAGTATAGGCATAGGTGGTACATTTCTTTTTTTTTTTTTCTTTGAGATGGAGCCTCAAGCTATCCCCCTGGGTAGAGTGCCATGGCATCACAGCTCATAGCAACCTCCAACTCCTGGGCTCAAGCGAG